CAACTGAAAGACCTGATCTGGCACTTTCCTTATCCTAGATCCATGCTTCCAACAAAGAGCAAGAGAGAAACACTATCTCTGGCATAGGAATGCACACAAATTCTTTACAAAAAATGCCAATACCTCTGCTGGTTCATTTTCTCTGGTTTGTGTTTTAGGAGAAATTGACCTTCAGATTCTTGCAAAAGTACAGGCGAAATATCCCGGAGCTTTCATTCATAACGATGTGATAGAACCAAGTGTTGAGCAAATCACCAATTACAAAGGTATTTTTTTAATGTTGTATTTTGTTGGCACTTTGAGCTGTTACTTTTTAAACATATTTTAAGAAGACAAATGAGAGAAAAGTTGCCATTTTGAGATTACCCCTGCTTGGCTTCACCTTCGCCCATGTAGAATGTTCATGCAGCAATTCACCAGGAACAGACATTTTCAGCAATGCAGTAGACATTATATTCAATAGACTTAGTATCTCCATTTCCTGTCCGTATAAAGGTTGCCCATAGAATGCAGGTCAGTTTTCAGGACAGACTCTTCCCTTTTCTCTGCAGCATCTGAGAAAGGTGTGGTGGATGGGCAATGCTTCACACTCAAGGTCTTTCTGATATTTGGGATGAAGTTACCTTGGGATGAAGAACCTTGGGATTTTGTTTTTTCTCCTTTGCCTTTTCCTATAGCAATCTGATGTGGTTTATTTATTTAAGTTTTCAATTTCATGTAACAATTTTACCAATTGTGCAGGCACCTCTGTAACTGAAGCATTTGCTACATGGGGACAAGGCTTATATTGTTTCTTCAATACTACTGTGGGTACCAATACAGTGCAATGGCAATGGGGCTTCCATATGATAGGTTTCTATGCATTTTCCCTGCTTCCATGTGTATAATGTAGCCAGGAGACTTTACAATTGTCTGGCAGCTAGAAATTCTAGCTCTTTAGTGTTATCCAGGGTGTACCAATACACACATGAAAACAATCAAACAGTACTTCTTAGGACTACTTGGTGAGAGGTATAGGAGACTGCATCTGTATATGCCAAATGAATATTGAGGGTATAAGCAAGTCTAAATGCCAATACTTGTCACAAATCTTACTGGCCAATAAAATAGATTTAACTCTTGTTCAAGAAACTCATCTTGATAATGAAAATCAAGCCCGCCACAGAGTGAAAATTGTAGGATATGGTGTTATTGGCATTACATACTATCATACCTATGGCATTACATACCATCATACCTATGGCATAGTGACTTATGCCCGAAGCAACCTTAAAAATGTGACGCTGGTGTTGACCAACACTCACAATGACATCCACACAATCGTAGTAAAAGTTGGGGAAGTACATGTTGTCAATGTTTACAAACCTCCTGCAGTTTCATGGCCAGCACATGTCCTATAAACAGGCCCGTAGCGACAGTGGGGCATCTCGGGGCCCAGCCCCCTGACTTACCGCAAAGGCCTCCCCACTTCCAATCCAGCCCACTGAAAAAGAGTTATTTTATATTATTTTTTCATGCCACAGTGCATGGCTGTGCCACACCATGCCTTTGACCTCACTGAGCCTGCCTGCTGGAGTCCTGCCCCGGCCCTCACCCCACAACCTCATCAGTCAGCCCCGTCCTCCGTTACCATGCTGCCAGATGGGATGCTGCCAGATGGGGCATGGGAAAGAAGCAAAGTGGCAGCAGCGGGTGGGGTAGGGTCAATCCAGCACCCCCTTGTCTCCTGGCTTTCATCTGTCGACTTCTTGCTTTGTGTCTCTGGGCCCTGCTGCTGGAAGCTGCCTGGGGAGACCTGGTGCCAGGTAAGGAGGACTCCAGGCTTTTATGGGCAGCTGGGGTGGGGGCTGTTGTTAAGCAGCTGGCTTAATTTTTCTAGTGTTGCGAATTGTGGCTCAGTGATGGCTGCTGCGGGAGCAGTGGCAGCACGGCTCCCTCCCCACCTGCCCCATGCCCCCTGACTGTTTAAAATGCCCCAACTTAAAAAAACCTGGCTACACCCCTGCCTATCAACCTATCCTCATCCTTCTGTATACGTCAATGACTAACAGCCACCGTGGAAATTGGAGATATGTGGTTAATGATAAGAACGGTGAGGCACATGTTGACTGGGTTGAAGAACATCTCATTTTCGATGCTAAAGACAGAGTCTCCTTCAGATCAGCGGCATGGAATAGAGAGTCCAACCCTGATTTAACATTTATTTCATCTGACCAGAGAAGTCAGTCCTTGCCTATATCTAGATGTGTTCTTGTGGCTTTCCCCCACAGTCAGTATCAACCTGTAATCCTCAAGCTAGGAACCCAAATACCAGTTATCAGGTCTTTTCCAAAACCTCAATGGAACTTTAAAAGGGTTTTAAAAAATTGGAAAGGTTTCAGTGAAGATCTGGATAGGTGTCTTGGATGGGTCCTTCCAACACATAATAATTACCTCTGATTCATTGGAGCTGTTATATCTACAGCCAAAATGTACATTCCTCACAGATATTGGAAAGAATATATTCCAGGCTGGAGTGATCAGAGTGAGAGGCTGTATAAAATTTCCTCAACAGCAAAAACCCAGAAGTAGAAGATGAACTACTTCATGAGCATGATACTGAGCACAGACAAAAATGGACCGAAGCAGCTATGAATCTGGATTTCAGGCATTCCAGTAGGAAAGCCTGGAGCCTGTTGAAAAAACTAGGTGCAAGTCCTCCTGTGCTCCGAGGAAATCCAGAGGCAACATCAAACCAGGTAGTTACCTGACTGGTATCCCTATCAAGAGCTCTGAAGGATTGAAATTTTATGACCAGGATAAAAAAATAACTCCAGATATTTTTAAAATCTTATTAATTAATATTTTATTGAGTATACATATATATATATATTTTCAAAACATATAGTTTACACAGCGTTCATTTCTTGTATCCAGGAATCAAACTAAAAAATACAGACATGTCAAATACGTTTATTCTAGAATCCCCAACCTCATTTTCTTATTCCCTTTCCTTACCCATTTTACCTAACCACTGTACAACTTCCTCAAGTTCTTCATCTATTCCTTATGACATTCTTTCAATAAATTTTCAGAACTTCTTTGCTTGTTTTAGAGACTTCCCTTCTTACTAACTCAGTTTTTAGTCTTAATTTGTCTTCTTTTATAGCTATAAAAGAAAGTTGGCCAGGGTTGCCTTTGATACTGGGTGCTGCAGGGGAACCCTCTACAGCCAGAGGAAACCATCCCCCCTCTTATCGGAGGTCTTTGGGGGAGCTCACCCTTCCCCTCCTTGCTATGCCGTTGGCTCTAACACTTCAATTCCTATATTGTTTTTGCTTTCGTATAATTTCCACTTAACATATCTAGTAACTCTAAGTCACTCTACTTTTCATCCTATTAGTTGCTCTCTACAACTCTTCATCAGAATCTATTGTCCCGGTTCAAATGCTTCCATCTGTTTGTTTAATTACTGTGTCCAGTAATTTCTTGCCTGTCGCTTCATTATAAGCAGTTAGGGTTTTATTCTCCAAATTGACCACTAGATGGCTTAGTGAGAGCCATCTTTACTGCATGCCTTTGTCTCTTAAATCTTTTGCTGTCTCTCTCAGTCATCTTCTTGCGTTAATTACCTCAGCTGGAATGTCCGCAAACAAAAACACAATTGTGTCCTCAAGGCACAGACCCTGTTTGTCTCTCATGATTTTAAACAGTTTATTCTTCATCTGTACATGATTGAATTTGATGACAATGTCTGGGGAAACATTTTCAGGAGCCCTTTTGGAAATATTTAACTGGAAGGTAGAGGTGATAATCTCTTTGGAAGGCTCTGCTTCTCCTCCAGAGAGAAGAATCTGACTCAGCCATTTATTTAAAGCTGCAGTGAGGTTTTCCGTTCTGCCAAAATTTGCAGATACTCCCTGGAGTTTGGCTTTCTTTTCTCTCAATTTAGTCTCCTGAAGTATAATCTTATTTTTGGCCCATGCCTCAAAATCCTTAAAGTCTTTCAAGTCATCGGCAGTCTTTTTCACCATCTGGTACGCTAGTTCAGCTTTCTTCTCTGTCAATTTTAATGCTGTGGTAAGTTCATCCAATTTCCTATTTATTGGTTCAATTGTTTGTTTGAGCAGTCCGGATTCTGTTTTTAATTACCCAACATCTCCACTCAGAAGCTTTATTTTGTTCTTAATTTCATTCTTTATCTCTGTTAGTGCGTGCAGTATCTCAGTCTGATAGCTTTGGTCGGGGTTGCTCCCACCGCCACCATTTCCTCTAACAGAGAAGTCTCTAGGTCTGAGTCTTCTGAGTTTTCGAATTCAATATTAGTCTTTCTAGGGGGTCTGTAGGGAGGGTTTTTGGTTCCTTTCTTCCCTCTGGTTCTTCCCATACCTGGCATTGATGTTTATTTCAAAATTGGCTTTAATCATTAATCTTCTGCGGGAATGGCAGGAGAGTGGCAGGGATGCAGCCAGCCAGAAGCTCAGCTGCCACGCCCCCTTCAAGAACTCCAGAATTTGAAATGCATCTGCCCTGAAGACTGTAAGCTTTCAGGGAATTTCAGTGCTGGTGAGATTTTCAAGGCACTGAAGGACATCAAGAGCAGAAAGGCATCAAGCTTTGACTGCATCCATAAAGAGTTCCTGATATCTGACTGGCACTTATTACACAGTCTAGAGGGATTGTCTGCTGTACAAGTTTTTACAAGTTTTCCTCTGCAGAACATTATTTTGACACCTAAATAACATGCTGAGTGATAGAACTTTCCAGATAATTATGGGCCAGTCAATCAGCAAGCAGGAGAAACTGAATAATGATCTACCGGCTTGGTCCTCACTTCAGTTTTTTCTATCTATCCATCTCTGATGTTCCTGAAATGATATCCAGGACGTTTCCTTATGCCGATGAAATGGCGATTCATGCCAATAAACAAAAACACACTGTGATAAAATTAACAATGACACATTTAATGATTCTGTGAGCATCAATTTGTGAAGCTATTAATCTGACAATATAGTTAGAGACTTCTGACATAAGCAAAGCAAAGTCCAACATAATGATATCCTCGATGAGCACACCAGTTTTTGCATTCATTTCACCAATCTTCCTCATGAGTGTCACCAATCTTTCTCATGAGTGTCACCAATCTTCCTCATGAGTGTCATCTGCTGGATGTCATCTGCGTATTGGTGACACCCTAGCCTATACCTCCAGGCAATCTGGGCAAGGGAGCGCATATAGATGTTAAATAATATTGGGAATAGCACCGCCCCCTGGGGAACCCCACACA